ACATGCATCAGTTTGAGAGCTTACATATTCTACAGCCCTTTAAAGAACAGATTGTAGCATACACACGCTACATCGATGACATCTTTATGATTGTTAAGGGCACTACTACAGATGTAGAACAAATGATTCAGTCCATCAATAGAGCGTCTTCTAACATTGAGCTGACTTCAGCAATCAGTAAGGATCAGGTCGATTTTCTGGATGTCAGAGTTTACCGTGAAGGGGACAAATTGGCACATACATTATTTACAAAAACAACAGATCGCAACACATTGCTGCATGCAACCAGTTTTCACCCGTCTGCCTTAAAGGAATCCCTACCATACTCCCAATTTTTGAGAGTTTTTCGAAACAATTCTGACCTTGAGAAGGCACAGATTCAAATTTCATCTATGTGGCACAAGTTTAAGATGAGAGGGTATAAGGATAGCACGCTTCAACGTGCGTTATTGAAATGCCAAAGTGAAGATTTGGCTGTTAAAGAAATAACACATGCCCCTCGTATAGTATTCCCTACTACGTACACCTCGGCATCGATGGAGTTTAATAACATTATTAAGAAGAATTGGATTGTTTTAACCAATGACCCGTCATTACCAGCTGAGTTCAAAAATCCCCCCCCTGACATGCTACAAAAGAAATCAAAATCTAAGGGATCTCCTGGTATGCACTGACCCCATTCATTGCTATCAACCTCCATCTAGCAAGATTAATTACGGATGCTACCGTTGCTTAGGTTGTGTGACCTGTGGACATATGCTGTCAGGCAAAACATTCACACACCCTCACTCTGGGAAACCCTACACCATTCGACATCGCTTAACGTGTACATCGGATTTTTTAATATACAAACTTACTTGCCCATGTGGACTGGCCTATGTGGGCAAAACAGATTTACCCTTACGTGAACGAATCCGTAACCATAGATCCAGTATACGGACTGCTTATAGGGACAACAAATCTGAGCAACCCGTGGCAAAACATTTTCTTGAGAAGGGACACTCGTTGCCCACCCTGAAACTGATAGCCATAGACCATGTTCCACCTTTGCGCAGAGGTGGAGACCGCAGTAAGCTGTTATTGCAGCGTGAACTGTACTGGATTAGGACTCTACACACCGTTCAGCCATTTGGTTTGAATGAAAAATACTCATTGGCAGTATTTTTGTAAATATTGGTATCGTGGTTTTGGTTGATAGGGGAACGAGAATGCCCACCCAGGGGGATAGGCATCTCTAATATCCTTCCCATTATACCGCTTTGCTATTCACTTATTTAGCAAGTTGTTGGCACTTATTGGCGACTATTAAGGGCTTGGAGGTAGCCCACCCTGGGGGATAGGCATCTCAGCCATTCTTAATTTCAGCCTAAGGCTCTAATGCATTTTTGTGCTGCTTACTAAAAAATCTAAAAAAAATCTTTAGGATGATTCATGTTATCTGTCTGATGGCGGATGAGTTTAGGGTTAAGAGACAGCCCACCCTGGGGGATAGGCGTCTCAATTACCCATTCCA